GCCAGTGGGGCTGCTTTAACTAAAGTTCATTTAACAAGCTTTAGTTAAAGTGGTCTTGTTGCCCTTTTGAAGCTTTGGGATGCTGAATACAAGTGATGCCAAGGCTGCTAGATACTAACTAGCACACTCCAGCAGACTTGTTTAATTGAGTCTGCTCTGAAACTAGCACACTTCAGAGCAGGCATCCAGCATGTGTGTAGGTGCCCCGAGACTCTATGGCTGTGTGTAGATAGAGTGAGAGTCGTGTGCACAACACTTTAAAGCAGGCTAAATGCTTCTGCACTGCTTTACTGGTGTTGGTGTTTGCATGCATTGGCAGCGTATTGCGCTTTAATTCCAGCCGCTGTAGTTAATTCAGTGGCATAATGCACCTTAAATGACTTTGGGCGCAGCAAACTAAAACTCCTTTGAGGAGTTTTAGCTTGCTGCCCCTACAGCTGCAGAGTGAAGTACTGGGCTCCATACAGCTGCACGGCTCTGCAGGAAGCCCTGCAGTCAGCCTGGCAGCAGCCTGGGAAAGCAGCTTTACACATGAAAAGCGGTAAGCCTGATCTCCCCAACCCCCAGAGCGTGCCTGCCTGCCTGAGCTGCACAGGGACCCAGTGCTTCCCTTCATGGCTGTGGTGTCCCCCAGGACCACCTGATCCAGGTGCCTGCAGCCTGGGGAAGCCCTGGGTGCAGCCTGGGGAAGACCACTGCCACGGAGGGAAGCTTCAGCCCCTCCTACAGCCCAGGGACTTCTCCACTTGCTAACAGCTCGCCCTCCCCTCCCTGCTGGAGAGGCAGGTAGGTCAGCGGGATTAGTACATGACATGGGGGTTTGATCAGCCCTAAATTGAAGTGGTTGTTTTTAAAATCCACCACTTCAATTTAGGGCCTCCCATTTAGTCTACACACGCCCTAAGCATCTAGGTATAAATTAGAACAGCCACGTACCTTACCTAGCTTACACTTTTCCACCTCTTGGCCCTTTGTTTTTATTAGTGAACCATTTAAGCATTGTCTCACAAGAAGACTCCCTATGTATATAAGGATTCACTTATTTTGTAAAATGAGAGAGACATTTTGAAACTGACTGACTGCCTTTTGGAAGCTATCCTGTTTAGCACTTCTCTCACTTCAGAACACTGACAATGATACCACTTCAATGTACCCATGCTGAAACTGATATGTAAAGTGCATTGATGGCAGGACATGTTTTCCAGGACAGGAAGCTCCTTTTCTTACAACTGTTTGAATCTAACTTCAAGGGTTTTTCTACACATGCAGGTAAAGGTGCAATGGGATCTAACATGTGATCCACACAACTGCACCTCCTGCCATGCCACATGTACATTGCAGTGGATGTGATTGTGGGACCCAGCACCTGATGAGGTCATGCCTTATTCCTGGTACAGGGGGATCCTGGGATCACCATGCCAGGCTCCCCCTGCATCAGCAAATAACAAGCTCCCATAGCTGCAGGACTTGCAGCTGACAGGACTCTTAGCCCTGGTTGCACCCCATGGCTGCTGGAGCTGAGAGTCCTACAGCAGACAGGACTGTCAGCCTCAGTTGCACCTCACACGTGAGGCTGAGCATCCCATCAGCTGCAGGACTCTCAGCTCTGGCAGCTGTGGGGTGCCTCCATGGCTGGGAGATTGCAGCAGTTGCAGTCTCCCAGTCATAGGAGTGTGTTGGGCACCCCTGAGATCACAGCAGCTCTAGTGTCCCAGCCATGGGAGCACAGGCTAGATGTGCAAATTAAAGCTAGATAGAAACCAGCTATGACGTTATTACACATTTTCCATCAGTAACTTCATAGCTGGTTGGACCTTTTTAAGGCACCATAGCTCATTTGCATATATAGCCAGTCTAAATTAATGGTGCAGTTAACTAGGTAATTGCATAATACATGTTACATGAAGAGGGGGCTGTTTTGATTCGACACTGTTATGACTCATTTTGAGCCTGAAACAGTGAAATCGAATCAAAACGAAGGACTTTGAAACAGCCTCGAAACAAAACAAGGCTAGTCAAAATGTTTTGAAAGTTTCAAAACTTTTCGAGTTTCAAAGCAGCCAGTAGCCCTGGCTCTCCCTGTCTCCCACCACCTGGCTGCAGAAAGCTGATCACAGTGCAGGGGAAGGGAACTGAGACAGCCTGATCTAAGCCAAGGGATGGGAACTCCCTTCCCCAGTCCCAGGCAGCAGCACTGGCTTCCCTCCTTCATCTAGCAGGTACATCAGGGGCCCGCAGCCCCGACCTGCCTGCCAGATGAGAGAGGCTGTTTTGAGCTTCCCCATTATAGCTAATGGGCAAAACCTTGAAAAAGCTTCAAAATGGCCTCTCTGTTTTGATGAAGCAAATGGAACAGCTGTTTCAAATCAAAATGAAATTCGAAACAAAACACTGTTCCATCGAAACCTCAAAACTCAAGTCGAACCGGAACGGTGCCATTTCACATAGCCTTACTGAGAACCACATTGAGGACAGAGCAAAAGTACTATTATAGATCTTTAAAATTGTATTGGAAAATGGACAGTAAAACAAACTGGATCAAAACACCTGTAGAACATGGAAACAAAATAGTTTTGGAGGCCTAACTTGTTTTCTTGATTGGATTTTAGTAGTAACATTTTAAAACACATAGTCTTCTATTGAAATGAAGTTGATCAAAACCAAAGGAAAAATAGAACTTGGAATGATTACATTACAAAGACAGATATGTAAAGGCATATTCCATAGGTAAATCGTTACTTCTAATATATTGTGCAAATATTATATAAATAGTTTTAAAACAGGTACCATGCTGTTATCAGTAACTATACATATTTTACTAGTTTTAAAAAATGGGCAGTATGTTGTCCACAATTATACCTATACAACCTTATTGCCATTAGTGGGGTTATATAAAAGTAATGGACTCAAGAATGTGGTGCATTCATTACACTTGTAACCTTTTCAATTACAAATTTTCTTCCTCCGTTCTTAATGAAAATATTATTTCATTGCACATCCCTGTTCATCACAAAAAATGGCCTGAAATAGCTCTTGAATTTGAAAGGATTTGTCCAAGAATAAAGCACTGTAATGAATGAGTTTCTATGCTGCATAGAGGGACAGCATGGAAAGCATATCCTAGCGAGATGGAACAAGGATAGCACTAGTCAGGAGGAGCTCAGAGCTGCTGCATTGCTATGCGATGGCTCTGCCCCTCACAATCTCTGCAGCGGGGTTACAGTAGTGAGGAAACTTTGTAGGGCCATTTATCCTTGCCTTCTGATGTGTTGCATTATTCACTGGATGCTTACAGTGAATTTCTGTCCATTCTTTGTCTCTAGTCAGACAGATTTTGAGGAGATTATTTGCAGACAGAAGGCTGAAGTTCCAAGAGTCTTTATTCTAGGTTAAAGACATTACAGTGTTAAAGGGCATTTCCCAAGTGTTGTTGGACCAACCAGACTCAGTGGAAAATAATGATGCTTATTGCTAGAACATACTGTGACTCACAAGGGGCATGGACCACCAAAGCTCTGCTCTGGGAACACTTGCAGAAAATTGATTATGTGTGGAAATTCATAAAAGAGTTAGGTCATGAGCCTTGACTGCATGGAGTGAGGATGAGAAAACTTAGGTAGGATCTGCAGAAAATGGGGCAGGAAAGTGATATGGCCTAGCTATACAGAAAATGAATTCATTTGTTTTGGGAAGAGTTTCATGATTTTGAAAATTCTTTTATTTCAGAGTGGAACAAAACCAGGAAGGGCAAAATTTCCCAGACACAAAAATGTATATGTATGCATCAATTCAATCAAAACATGTTTAAACAAAAATTAAAATGTTTATTGCCCCCTTTTAAATATCTTACATTTAATATATTATATACATTATTTTATATAAATTAAATTAACTGAGAAATCACTGGGAAAGGAAAATAGAAACCTTGTATTCTGTGAGTATAGAAATGGAGTATTTAACTTTATCAAAATGCTATTCTCATTTTTTATTTCACAATTAATTTTCTTTAAAAGTGACACACATCTACACCCAGTGGAAGGAACAGCATTGGCAAAATTCTTGGAGCTAGTTGTCAAAGGTCTATATGCTTATCCAAGGCATACAGTATACACTTGATCTGAGCTTTCCTGAAATCTAGTTTTAAATAAGTCAAGCAATGGATTTCTATTGTCTCCTTTGTATAACTATTTCAAGTTTAATGGACTTTATAGCTGGAAATAGTGACAAGTAAATAATTCATGAGTGATTTATTTGAGGAATTGCTACATTGCGTTCATAAAAAGTCTGCAACCAAATTTATCCAATGTGCATCTTTTCCAATGTTGTATTTATGACTTTTTCTAAGTTGTAAAGGTAGGTTGTTTTGGTATGAATATTCTTGCATGCAAATACAGAATTTGATTCTAGGGAAGACTTCTGTCTTCAGTTATAAAATTCCCTTCCTGGGAGTATTTTCAATAAAACTTAAGATTCAAGTATTTACAGACTACAGGGTTTTTCATGTGCCACTGAAATCTGCGTATGAGTTGTCCTCAAATGCATTTGCCCCCAAAATCAAACCTTTAATATTTGACCTAAAATATGTGAAAATATTTTTGCACACTGTTCTATTTAGTTTCCTCAGGCCATCACATATTTTTGTGGCTTCTTATTGAGTACTAGAAGTAGGATTTTTTTTGATTAACTTTGGGGATTTGGGTTGAACTTATTTTTCAATTTCATTTTATACTTACATTTTTTTTCTTTTTTGCAATGTGTGAAAATCATAAATCTACTATTTAAGCAACAAGTTGACATACTTATAGTGAAAACCTGTAAGCATAAAGCTAGAAAACATGAAAATTAAATTCTACCACACAGAATGATATGTATTTGCCGTGTAGTAAGATCCACTTCTAATGATCTTCATTGATATATTTATGAATTATACTTTAATTTTAAATAAGATGGCTAATAGCAACACATGACTTCATTCTGTCCCCCACTTCCCCCTCACTTACGGTTTACAAGCTTGGATGGCAAAATTGGGTTGAATTTCTCTGGGGACTCAGTGTTGTCCTCATCTGTTACATATTCAAAGTTAATAATAAACATCATAGCTACTCCCTCTTGATTTTTCACTGGGATTATGTGGGTGTTGCAAATGAAGGTGGTCCCTAGGGAAAGGGAAAAGAAAAGAAAGACCAATATTTCAATCAGAGAAACCTGCATTGTGTCTTTATACTAACAGTTTTACGCATGTAAAAAATGATGCAGATTGTTTTTTTCTTTTGATGATTGCTTGCTAATAAACACATGCAGCATGTTTCATTTAAAGAACACCATTTTCAACAAAAACAAAATTTGTCTTCTAATGATGTATTGCATTCATACTTAATGCAAAAGATCTTCCATTCAAGTTGCCCCTTTTGTTCCATTGATTTCTATTCCCTGGAAATGACTTTAAACATAAATGTACAGCTTCATGTTGTGGAGGTATTCACATTGAGTGTCACTGCCGTCTACCACATGAACCACAATGCTGCTGCAGAAAAAAACACCTTTCTTCTAAATGTCAGAGGTTCTTTATGATTTACAACATGGTGAATCACATATTAAATATTCATGTGTGCAAATATATAGCTGTTCTTATTTTAGCTCTCTTTATTTTTGAGGTTTGTCTAAGGATGTTTCAATATTTTATTAAAAATGATGCTCATGGAAAAAACATGCTTTGTTTTCAACCTGATCATATTGAATGGCTTTTTTACATTTCATCATAACCTTCCCCCACCACCAATCTTATGGTCAAGATTTTCAAACCTGAGTACTTACATTCAGCACGGAATTCATAGTGAGGAACATAATTAGAAGTTGCTAGATTTTCAGAGATGTTGAGTGCCCATAACGGTAATTTAAGTTAATGGAAGGTGTCTTTTCTCAGTGCCTACAAAATTCAGGGCCTTTTTTATTTAGGTGCTTACTCAATATCTAAAGATTTTATCCATTTAGTTTGTGCTGGTCATCATTGCAATATTCTATTTAAAAAGTTTCATTTGATAAGGTCGTTAGCTTTTTTCTTGTTCCTTGTATTATGCTGTTAGAATAAACAGATTCCAAATATAATATGATAGATATATGTGCAAAGGTAACATGGGGCTAAAAGCTTCATGCAAACAGAGCTGTGAGGTGCTGTCTTTTTTAACTGATTTAATGTACGTCATTTGTAATTTTATTCATTCAAATACAGTAATCACTGAACCTTGACAGGGGGTGTAATTTTATAAATTCAGATGTTCATTTGGGTTACACAGGAATAAATCTTTTTTTTTTTGTCCTCAGAAAAAGTGATGATCCAGATCCATTGCAACAGTGATCAGAATCATCCTGCAATATTTCATGTAGTATTTGCTATAATGTGGTATTTATAGCAGGCTGAGCTATGAATAAAAATTGACATGCTGGCCTTTCAAGTTTTGCAGCTGTACCTTCAATCCATTTAATAAAACAGTTAAGCTGTGGCACTTGCCACAGTTTCCATGGTAACAAACTGGATGACTTTAGTAAACAGAAAATAAGCAATTTAAGACTGTTCCATTAGAGCTAAAAATAGAAGAGCTGCAGGCCAAGCATTGCAACGTAGGCTGGTTAAACAGAAAGTCTGAAGAGAGACTAGAAAAAACCATTATGGTTTTCAGCTAATTAACCAAAATACATATTGACTTTAAACACTTAAAATGACATTTAGAGAGCCATTTGGAGCGACTTTGTTACTTTCCATCAGCTTGTTTTGAATTTCTTAACATCCGGATTTTGTTGTGACAGGCAGCTGCACAAACCGAATGATGAGCCTGTAACCTGCCACCTCCTGACTCGATGAGAAACAAAGGGCAGGGCTGAGGCTGTCATGGATTGGAAGAATGCTGAACGCCAGTGGATGAAATGTTTATGGACTTTGGAAACAAGGGTTGACAATGTCTTGGATTTCACTAAACTAATGCTGAACCCTGCAGTTTGTAGACAAGGAAGTTCTAGCCTTTAAAATATTTCCTGCAGTGCTGAGAAATAACAATATCTCACATTCACAGGGAACATTACATCCCCATGCAGCACCCCCAGACACTTACAAATTGACATTTACACCATATTTAGGGATTCACCTTCATGGACAAAAACAGCAGCTATTTAACAGTTGACAGCACAAGAACATGGCAAATAATGAATCATTCTGTAGCTAAAGGCACATTCAGGAGCAGTTTAGGAGTATAAGATGGGGAGATACTTTGGGCATGTGTAGATGTTCCTGGGACCCAATCTACAGTCCCACAGCTTACTTTAAGCAACGTGATCGTAGATCAGGTTCCGCTTGTGCACACACGCACTGGTGCCTGGAGCCATGCTGGGAATGTGATCGAAGTAAGCTGGGGTGGGGGAAAGGGTGGGGAGGATGGGGAGCGGCCAGCAAGTATATGCAGAAGAGGGCTTGATAGGTCCAGGGTGGATTTTCCATCCAGGGGTGAGGGAGTTGGAGGCCTAAAAATAGCCTGGTCAGGGTCATGGGGGGATAGGAAAAGAGCAGCCCTGGGGTTGGGTTTAGTGGCTGGGCTTTTCTTGCCCTGAGGCTGCTCTCTGAATGTATGCACGCATTTGGTTAGATCAGGCACAGATTAGATGAACTAAGATCAGGCCAGCCATTTTTTGCCTGACCTAAGGTCCCCAAATGTATGTACAGTGTGACAGGACAGCTGGTGCACCTCCCTTTAAGAGGACAAGCAGCCTGAGAGTCAGCTTGCAGGTAGGAAGGGGGCTGATTAGGGACTCACCTGACCCAAAGAGGGCTGGGCTTGAGCCATACAAGCCCCATGCTTGTGCCAGTCAGGAAGTCCAGCCCTGAGAGCCATGAAAAGGCAGCAGAGGAGGAGGGCCCCTGAATTGACAATCATACTGAGTAAGCAACTCTGCAGGCCTGAGAAAAAGGGAAAGTTACCTGGGGCAGAGTGGAAGGCTTGTTTATGCAGGCAGGTGTCTTTTATTTTGTGTTAAAACCAGAGAGGGTGTCTGCCAGAGGGCAAAAATGGTGGTTTAGCCTTAAACCCTGCAAGGCTAGACTCAGGACTTTCTTAGAGACCTGGTAGCCCAGAAGGGGCTGAGGGTGGAACCCAAGTGTCCATGAGCCCAGAGGAGGGACTATAAGCAAAGACTGCTAAGGAAATCCCAAGTGGGCTAGGAGTGGGGCTAGGTCCCAGGAAGGGCCAAAGGTCTAGGAGGAGCCACTTCTGGAGACCAACTCCAGGGTGGCAAGTTGGACCAGGGAGTCTAGAGGTCTCAACTGGCTTGAAAGTGACGCCAGGGCCCAGGAGGAGTTAAAGGTCAAAGAGAGAGTGCAACTGGGGACTGCCAGAGCCAGGAAGCCTGGAGATCTCGACTGGCCCAGGAGTGGGGACAGGCCAAGAAGGGGCCAAAGGTCCAGAAAGGGACACTGCCATGGATTGATAGGGTTAGAGACCTGCAGGCAGGGAGGCTGGAAGCTAGAAACCAGGTTTGAACTATGGGCTGGGGCTAAGAGGCCCAGTGAGAATATAGGGGGCAGAGTCCAATAAGGCCAAGACCCCTACAAGGTGAATGACTGTACAATAAGAATTGTGAGGTATGGGGTGTGGTATAGAGGTGGATGGAGCCACACAATGAGCCTTTAAGGCTACAGGTGCCCTGGAAGGGAAGAGAAATGCAATAAGCCCTTAAGGCTACAGGTGAACTGCAGAGGCGTGGACATGCCAAGAGGGGCTATTGAGGTTGAGGGCTGAATTGAAACTAGTGGAGTCCAGGAGGGACCTGGAAGTGACTTGCATGGACTAAGGCTCACTGTAAGGCAGTGGTCACCAACCAGTCGATCTTGGAGCCTCTGACGGTTGATCTCAGTCTGTCAGAGGCTCCACAATTGGGAACAGCAGGAGGCATGTGGCTGGGCTGAGCGATGCCCTCTGCCGCCTGGGCTGGGCTGGCTGAGTGAGGTCAGAGCCCGGGCAGCTTGTCTAGGAGGCAGGGGGGGCAAGGCAGGGGGTGGGGGCAGGGGCAGGGCAGGAGCTGGAAGGGGTGGTGGGCCGGGGCGG